AGTAGGAGTAGGAGTAGGAGTAGAGGGAATGGATAGCATCTAGATGAAACAACCTCCGAAGAACCCCGGTTGAACAGCACTCAGCTTTTAGGGCCTTCAGAGTATTAGTACCCCAGACACCGGAACACCCGCGTGAAACACCCCTCGTCCAATCTATAGATCTGTTGTGACGCTGTTCGAGGCAGCTGCCCGGTGGACCACGACTTTCCTACCTTCCCTTGGATTGGCTTCGCCAGGTCCAGGGAAGGCTCTAAGGGACACGAGCTGGAAAGACTGGCTGGTGGTGAAGACAACGAGAGGAAAAAATGACTAAACCTGCCTCCAAACAGAAAACTGCACGTCAAATTGGCCCCTCCGTGCCGGTAAAAGACTCAGATCTACAGAGTCTCATCATAGATGGACTCATATCTTTATACCACGTAGCGACACGTAGTTGTGTTCGGAGGATGCAGGTTGAGGGCCTCTCCTAGGTCCTAGACGGCGAGGACAGTTTGGGGCGCTTACTTTGGGGTTTGGACTCGGACAGCTTGCCAAAACTTGCGCTGCAGTCCCGGGGCAGAACATCTTTCAGCTACTTGGACGCCAGGCGGGATTAGCAAGACTTCTCACTCCACCACCAGCTTCCGTTTAGGAGGTGTGGTCATTTCGACGGCAAGCTCAACATACAAAAGTGCACTCGGCAGCGGGGCACGCGGGGAATGGGACTTACTCTACTATGTTGCGGAATGACGAACATCTCAGCAAACCCCATACCTGGCTGTGGATGGTTGTGTGATATGCTGCTGGAATCAGTACACTCTGGAAGAGGGCTGCCTCCATGCTAGCTGCTAAGCTTGCGGCACCTCCAGCAAAACTTTACGAGCTCGCGCTACGGGATCGACTCTCCGCCGGATTCTGACTCAGTTTTAAGAGGGCCCTGTCTCAAGGGGGGAAGATGTCGACTGATGCTCTTCTGACATCCCTCCACAAGACCTTCCAATCTGCCCATCGCTACCGGGGAGATCCGTGCAGTCCATGGTCCTGGCTCATGGTGGCTGGGCAAAGTCGTTGTTGCTGCTGGGGTGTACTCAGTGTGCTCGCCGCTGTCCGCGATGTCAGGGGCAGTTGCTGTGGGCTCAAGCAGAAGATGTGAAACACTTCTCTTCAACATGTCTGGTTAGCAGGCTGTGTGTGATCGGGAAAGGCTCAAGCGAAATGTCAAGAACCTCGTGCTTGGCTAGATTTCAGCTGCAGCAAGCGTCCTGGAAATATGTAGTCTCTCCTGTCGAACCCGCGAAACCACGGCGCGATCTCGACCGGACGGCCAACGCAAGCAGACTCCGTCTGTTGCTTTCAAACCAAATTGTGCAGGCTTTTGCCTCTCGCCTCTTGCCTATGGCGTCTTGGCATTGCACATTGCTTCGACCTAAAGCTTCAAGCTAAACACCACAGGCAACACCCTGGGTAGCTCTACCCTGGCCCGCGAAAGCGCCTGTGGCTGTGCCGTTACCGTTCTGTTGATCTTCATCTGTTATTGCTCGCGTTCCGCCTCGCTTCTCTTCTTGGGCATAACCGTATGGTGTCTACTGAGTCTACTTCGTGACCATCAGTCCGTCCAGTCGTTGTTGCATTCCGGCCTAGGATCGCCCTATTCCGTACTACATCCAAGGCGCCCTGCGGGTTGCAAGTTGGAGAACCCATGGCATTTCCAGGCTTTCTGTGAGCTGCAAAGCTGGGCTGGCTTCAAAAACGCTTGAGACCGAAAGGTCCTCCAAACCTGAACCGAAGCTCCTGTGCCCCTTTGCTTCAATCCGCTTAGCCAGCCCAGGGACGAGGGGCTTTGGCCCTCTCTGAACCCACAAGTGCAACAGCACGTAGGTGCATATTGATGTTCGAAGAACTGGAGCAAGGCTCGACTGTTCTTGTCTTTGTATCAGGAGCTGAACCGATCCGAGAAACTTGGTTCTACTTCAAACAGCCCAGCCACACCCTATACTTGCTGACCCTAAGCTGACAGCGACACAAACTGTCCACTTTGCTACGCCTTGCTGCAGCCGGCGCACTGCCTCAAGCAACTGCGCCTTCCGCTGCAAACACCCACAGCTTCCTGTCAGAGACAGACTAATTGGAACAGTGGTTGTCGGACATATTATGGTAGGGCTATACCTATAATGGGATATTACCCCCTTTAAACTGTATATCTAGACCCTTTTTCACAAGGGACGACTTACTGCCTATCTAGACCCCAAATTCCAGATCCCTAGGTTGATGGCTTTCTGAACTGCTCGGCCAGAAACCTGGGAGATAGCCGAGCCAAAACTAAACCCAAAAAAGACCATGAGGTTAGTATCGGAGCGTTTTTGCCATACCAACAACTCCCATGCTCCAAGCCTTACAAACTCTCAGAGCACATTGGTCTTGGGCTATTGCGACTTTAGGTCTGCAGGTCGGGGCTGCAGGTGTCTGGGAAGTTTGCAATATGGCGGTTTCCAAAAACAGGGGACCCTAATATAGTACCCAAAATAACAGGTTCCTTATTATAAGGACCCCAAATAAGGTACCCCTTATTTTCTGAAACTCCCATATACAAAGTCCCCAACTCTGCATCTGAACACCCCGGGCCCCACTCAAGGCGACATCCCAAGCTCAACCCCAAGCTGGGGCTTTCCGAAAATTAGGGTACCTTATTTTAGGGTTCTCATAACAAGGATCCTACTATTTAGGGTACTATATTAGGGTCCCCTATTTTCGGAAACCCCAATCTACGAATCGCACAGCCTGTCCTCTTCCCCTGCGCTCAGAGCCGCAAGGGCCCCCGATCAGATAGGAGATCCGCATGGGCACACCACGATGCATCCAGGCCTTCAGCACCAGGTGGGGGTCGAGGGTTTAGGGTTTAGGGGTTGAGGGTTTAGGGTTTAGGGGTTTAGGGTTTAGGGTTCAAAGGCCGATTCCTGACAGCCTGCGGCCCAGCCACGTGCGCCGAGACCGCGAGGGCGACCGGGTTGGCTCCTGAGAGCTCGTTGAGGTCGAATCTTCAGTCTGGGCCCTTCTAAACTTGTCGTGCACAGTCTACCTGTCTGTGCGCATATGACGTGTGATATCTTAACATCCTCTATACCTAAGATCTAAAGTGGATACACTGGAAAACATAGATAGACACACGTCAATCTTCAATGCTTTGAGGCGGGGGTGTTGGCGTCGAGATGAGTTCAGCTTGTGGTAGCGTCTGATTTTCTTGCTGTTTCGGTGGTATCGCTGGGGAGTTTATGGGGTGCTAGCAGATATTTGATTCCAAGAGTTCGGTTCAGGTTTGGTATCTAGTGATTTTGAATGTCCCAGTGTCTATATGTCCCTAGATTTCGGCTCTGTGTCCCCTTTGCTAGAAGGCCTCCATGAGCTTAAACAGAGCTGGGCACGATACGAAGCCCAATCCCTAAACCCTAAACCCTAAACAAGCAAGGCGCCCGGCCTTCAGAACATTTGCAGCCTCGTTCACGTTGCCCACGACCACGGTCAGGTCGTTGGCGCTGACCACTTGTGCCGGAGAGTCTGGCCAGGGGTACTTTTGTGCATGATCATCGTGTAGGACAAAATAGTATGTGGAAAGAGAGAAGATCGCATCGTGTAGTATGGGGCATGGGGTAGTACAGGATAGTCTAGTGCTAGTAAAAGTCTTAGTATTTGTTCTAGCATTAGTGTTAACATCAGCATTTGTATTTGTATTTAGTAATAGTAATAGGATAAGGATTAGCATTAGCAGTATAGTACTAGTATTAATATTGGTGCTAGTGTTAGTACTAGTAATTCGTATTCGTGTTCGTATTAGAGTTTGCATCAGGCTTAGTCTTGGTATTAGTCCCTAAACCCTAAACCCTAAACCCTAAACCCTAAACCCTAAACCCTAAACCCTAAACCCTAAACCATTAGTTTAAGGAATCCGGAATTTCGAGGCGAAGGCCCCTAAAAATTTCGAGGCGAAGGCCCCTTTTTACCCTAAACCCTAACGCCGCCAGCGCCTTTCGTCCCGTTGCGGGAGCCATTCTCAGGATGCAGGCTGGGCAGCCCATACCTCGGCATAAACTTGGCTTACAAGGAATTTAAAAAAAAAAGCCCGCGCGGCTTTAAGACGGCTGAAGCACACAAGCGGCTTCGAGGCCTTGTGATCTGAGACATCCCAAACTCGCAGAGTTGCACGAAGAAAGATGGTTCTTTCGGGTTCTGAAGCACCGCATCAGACAAAGAGACACAGACTTCGAAAGTAAGGCAACATCCGATAGCTTGTCCGCTTGACCCTGAACATGAAGCCCTAAATGAGAACCCCCGGCCCACCTCGACAGGGCATGGCCCAGCTCGCCGCCCTGGTTTGCGGGGCTTTGAAGCGAAGCGAGTCTAGACCCCTACTCACACGTTCAACTTCCCGCTGTCCCAGCCGCTTCCGGACCAACCTCGGATCTCTAAGCTCTTCTTTGGCACACCCGTCGGCTTAGTAGCTGGATTCGGGAAAAGGTGAACCTCAACCCGGTCCCTCGTGACTTTCCCAAGAAGGACCCAGAGACCAAAAACAAATAGTACTCCAGAAACCAGCTACTACGATATTCGATGAGGGACCACAGGCAGGCACTTCTTCTTTATACCAATATTCAAGCCTCCTTATGTTACATTATGTTTATGAAATTATACTGTACTATACTAGATTGTATCATACTCTACTATACTATATAATATTATACTATGGTATGCTATGCTATATTTTATGGCATTACACGAGGTTATGGTTTATGTTATGTTGTGCTATGTTATTATACTCCACTATACAATGTTTTATGTTAGGTTCTGATAATATATATATATATGCACACATACATACATATATATATATATATATATATGTATATATATATATACATATATATATACATACACACACAAAATATATATATATATACATACATATATACCATATGATATAACGTTACATTACATTATCCTATGTCATAAAATGTCTGTCGTGGTACCAACAATGACGACTTCTTTTCAACTCGAAGCCCGGCCTCGGGAAGGTCGCCGCCGCCCCACTCCACGCCGTGGAGGTCGGCCACCTGAAACCCCGGTTTAGGGTTTAGGGTTTAGGGTTCGGATTTGTTTCGAGAAGGCTTGAGGTTTAGGGGTTAGGGTGTTTTTGTGGGCCTGGCTTAGGGTTTTTTTGACACTCACACTCGGACAAGCCTGGCAAGGTCCACACGATACTGTCTTCAGAGAATCCTTAACAGAGCATCAAAGTAGGTTCACTTCAATGCCGGGTTTAGGGTTTAGGGTCTCTTTTCAGTGTCCGTTCCAGGGCTGAGGATAGGGTTTGAAGGGGCCTTAATAATTAGAATAGGGTTTGGTGGCATATTATACTATACTTGTAATTAGGGAACCCCCAAAACCCTGTTCAAATCAGTAAGGCCCCTACATTACATTTACATCCGATGTTTCCAACCAGGGTGCCGACCTCCAACTTTGTGAGAGCCACGACGACGCCTTAAAATAAAGGGGCCTTGAGAATTAGAATAAAGTTTCGGGGTTTCCTTATTATAAGTATAGTACAATATACTTCGGCACATCTTCAAGTGGACCCGCTTCATGGCGACATGGTGCTGGCCTTTTGCCGGGATAGCCGAAAAGTAAGCCCGTTACGTTTTGGTACCCCAAGGTTCACTTGACTTGCAAGGAAATGCGGTCCTCGTTCTAGCATCCAGGTATGGGGCATGAACATCCCAAATGCCATAATTACGGCCTAGATCTAGACTGGTCATAGTCCGAAGCCCTTTTGGGAGGAATCCAAACCCTAAGTTCCAAACAACTGATGCCCCCCAGGGAACCTCCATGTCTCGCTCGGTGTACTCCGTCTCGGACCTTAGCAGGCTGTCTCCATCATTCTACGAGAGCTTTGGCTTGTCATTCATATAGAAAGAAGCCTAGATATACTATAATCATAATAAGAAAGAAGCCTAGATATACTATAATCATAATAAGGAACCCCGAAACCCTATACCAATTATTATTAAGGCCCCTATATTATATACTATAATCATAATAAGGAACCTCCGAAACCCTATACCAATTATTGTCACGGGCCCTTATACCATATACCGTAATCATAATAAGGAACCCCGAAACCAATTATTATTAAGGCCCCTATATTACCTTCGCTCGGCATTCCTTGCGTTGCGAAGCTCGACTGAAGGCAAGGCTGGCCCTGCTGAGGCCGCCACATCAAGGCCGAGGCCTGAAAAGGGGTTTAGGGTTTTAGGGTTTGTTTAGGGTTTAGTGTTTAGGGTTTTAGGGTTTAGGGTTTTTTGACACTCACTCTCGGTTTAGGGACTTACGGTTTCGACTTTAGGGACTTAGATCTTGGATCTGCAGCAGCTGTGTTGGTTTAAGATGTTCGATGTAGGGGAGCCGAAAAAATACGACCCTTTTGAGAAATTTTGGAGTTGGAGGCATGGGATCGAAGCATTGGGCCTGCCAAGGCTCTAGCAACCGAGAAGGCTCCCATGCAGAAGGAGACATAATGATAATGATACTAGTAGTAATGGTACTAATAGTAGTAATAGTAATAATAGTAATAATAGTAATAATAGTAATAATAGTAATAATATGGGTCTTGGGGTCCACTGTACAAATTCAAAGGACATGACTAACTACGCAGACCTGCCTAGTGGCCTAGTATGGCCCGAGCACCAGTTTCGAAGGCTGATCCCGAGTACCCAAAGGCTCGAAACGATGGACCCTGTACTCTGCCTGAACGAAGGTGCGCCGGGCACTTCAGAGGTCACTTGCAGCTTTCCGAAAATAGGGGACCCTAATATAGTACCCTGATAAATAGTAGGATGCTTATTATGAGGACCCCAAAATAAGGTACCCCTAATTTTCGGAAACTCCCACTTCAGTTTGTCAAAGCAAGGGAAGGTCCGACACCCTGCCTTGTTGATCAACTTCGTGCTCTTCGAGCACAGCGACTTGAACACAATCTGTTTGCCCTTGGACTTGTACCTTGATTCTCGGAAAAAGACCCAACCGTCCAACTGCTTCAATGAAGTGCACTCGGCGTCGGCGGGGATACCCTGACATGAGCAATCCCAACTATTAGCCTCCGAGGGGCTCAGCGCTGACCTTGTTCATGGCCTGGGGCATGGAATCCCTAAACCAAGATCGTCTGGATTGGCGGACTGCCGTGCACAACTCCAAAAGAATTTGAATAAGGGCTTGGGCAAGCTTTCCAGACCCTCTTCCCAAAAGTTAATTTCGCGTCTCCACCTGCATGGCAGAGTAGTCGAAGAGAGACGTGGCTTCGGAGAAGACGACTTCGACCTTCCCCGCGCTTCGGGCTCAGAGATCCCAAATTCCGATGTCGACTTTTCGTGCGGAGGTGTGATGAAAACCGATGGTTCATTTATCTGCAGCCTTGAATTAAACTGCTCGAAGCGGAAGAAATCTGACCTGAACCCCGAGCTTTCGAGCCTAGGTTCGCGGTAGTGCGTTCAACCCACCTGCTAGTGGTGCTGGTGGCGGCGGCGGCGGCAGCGGCGGCGGTGGTGGTGGTGGTGGTGGGGGTGGGGGTGGTGGTGGCGGTGGCGATGGCGGCGGCGGTGGCGGCGGCGGCGGCGGCGGCGGTGGTGGTGGTGGCTTACCAAACCAGCGGCACCCATGCACGAACATCAAACCTAAACTCTGAACCCAAGCCGAGACGCACGAGATCTGGTAAACGAGAGCGGGCCCTACTCTACTAGTTGGTAAGAGGCTGTTGTCAAAGATGCTGTGCTCTCTGCTCTGGCTGGGAGCGAAACGCAGAGCAGGCGCAGTACAAACCACAGAAAAATATGACCTCTGGATTTTCATATCCCCAGTCCCAAAGCAATCTGAGCTCTGAAGTGTTGGCGCAAAAGGCCTTTTCTGGGTCCTCGTCGGCATTCAAAATCTTCCTGGGATATTATGGTTGTTTCTGTTGGCTTCGAGGCTCCGTTGGACTTGGTGGGTATTATGTTGCAGGATGGGGCTGAGGTGTTGGTTAGAGGATTCGAGTTTCAGTGTAGACTCCGACTACAAAACGAACTTGAGCTGGGTGTCAGTGACCTAACAGGAGACATGCGGTGGTCGTGGTAGGAAGCCGATCGGATGCGGGGCTGCAGGGTCGTTACATGCCGCGGGTGTTGGGGATTCGTCTGAACAACTGGCTTTGCACTTAGTGTTCAAGGTTTGGTTGCTGCCCGGAGGTGAGATTCAGATTCACGCGTTGCATGAAGCGTGCGCGAAAAGAGCGGCAGCACGTCGTCTGTTGGGAATTACCTGCTCCGATTGCGCGTGCCGGCACTTGGCCTAACCTTGTGGCATAGCTGGCCAGGCTGCAGGAAACGGTTGGCGGAGGTGAAGAAGAACGGCCCGTGGATGAAGTACTGCTTCCTTAGGTTGTGGCATGGGCGTCTAACATCTCTAGGGCCAGGACATCACCCATGAAGAAATCTAACACTCGACTGAGGCTCTGCGAAGCCGTGCAGCTACGTTGGTTCTGAATGCCACTTGGAGATGCATCCTAAATCCTGCCCGAGCTGGGATGAGGAAGGCTCACGGGCGGTCGCGCGGCTGCATGCTGGAGCTGCTGGACGGCTTCACTGGATCCTGTGCCTGTAGATGCCCTCTTTGCTGCTGGAGACTCCCTGCTTTGCGCCCTTATGCTTCTGCGAAAACACAGCCAGGGCTCACGTCTTCCTTCTCGGACACGATGACCTCGAACCTGAAATAATAACTATTGCCGCATTGGCGCCAGCTGCGAGATGATGTTGCTACATTCCGTGGAAGCTACAGTACCGTGTAGTGGCCCAGCACTGTAAGAAGTACCGACGTGTACCTTAAGGTTGCCTAGCGCCTTCACTGATGCAGTTTCCGGCATACCAGGCATGCCCCATGCATGAAACTTTGATGGCAGCGTATCCCAGGGTGCGCGAGAGAGGAGGAGGGTGATACAGGGAGTCAAGGACAGACACCCTATCCATATAGACGAACAGGCACAAACAGAAACGAGCAAGCAAGACTAACACTTCTCGCAAGGGTTTGTTCCATAAACCCGGGCGTCAAGTCAGCTTTTGAGATCTTACACCAAGACAAATGGAGGTGACAAGTAGTTTCAAGCCCGATAGCCACAACCCATCGGACATCAAATTCCGAGGCACTAAGACACAAGCACGAGCCGCGTGACGTGTCCGCTGAATTCCAGGCGTACGACACCGAACAGATTGCAACACCGACGCCCACAGCCACCGCGATGTTGGTGCCTGTCAAGAATGCAACTGAACCAGAAATCAAGTATGGGAAGCAGCACTCAGCAGGACTTCACAGACCCGAAAACCGATCAAAAGGCACCTGCCGGCCACTTGCACAGGATCGTCCTCGGCTGAGCCGATTACGAGAGATCAATTGGGACATGCATTCTACATTCCGAGAAAGCTCTCGGACCAGAACCAGAACTCTACAAAAGCCACTTAGGGCTTCGGGTTTACGCTCTCGCAACTCGGACTCTGCCAGACGAGGTCTCTGTGTCCAACTACGCCATCATTTCTAGACTTTGACTAGCCACTTAGGGTTTAGGGTTTGGGGTTTAGGGATTTGGGGTTTAGTTAGGGTTTACGGATTTTGCGTTTAAGGTTTAGGGTTTAGCGGAGCCAAGCATCACAATGATGATGACAATGGCATCTATCCGCGGCACCTCTTCGAGCACAGGGAAGTGAGGAGAAGGGAAAGAGAGGGAGATGGGTACTTCTCTATATTAGGGTCCCTTTTTAGGGTCCTTTCTATAAGGGTGCCGTACTATATTGGGGACCCAAACAAGGAACCCCAATTTAGAGAACTACCCAGATGGTCTTCGGGGCATCTCCAAGGCGCCTTCGACCTCGCTTTTTTTAATTCTTCCAAACTGATAAACTGATTCGATTTAGGGTTTAGGGTTTAGGGTTTAGGTTTAGGGTTTAGGGTTCTGTTTCGACCATCTCATCTCACCATGACGATCTGACGGGAGTCCGCGAGGAGACATTGAGGCGGTGCTGTAGCGTTTCTGGTCGGGGCCCTGATTGACGCCGTGCCTTGCAGTAAGCCTGCTAGTGGAACAAAGTCCACCCTGCAGCAGGTTAGCTGTGAAGTTGAAACCCCCCCAAAACACCGACGTCACAAGGTTGCGAATTCCCCTACCGCCCAGGCTGCAGACCCAAATTCTCGAAGCCCAGCACAATAGAAGCCGAGGCCTGTTCCCAGAGACTCCAATATCCCTTAATTAAGGAATATACCAAAAATCATATAAAGGATCCTACTATAATTTAAGGAGTCTTCCTTAATTAAGGAATATTGGAGTCTCTGGGTTAACCAATCGCAGCCTACAGTATTGGGCGTCTCTGCCGATGCCTTCACCCGAAACCACTGAAACTGGCCCAAACCTCAAGCCGTAGCAGGGCCTTGCGCTGCAGGCCCAGCTTCTCACGCAGGCTCTTCGGGAGAAATGCCGCCAACACCATGGGGATGGTGAACCACCTCAGCACTTTTTGCGGCTTCGACTCTGGTGGTTATGAAGTTTAGGGTTATCACCTTGGTGCCCTGGGTTCAGAGTGGACCGTCTGGCTGGACATCGTGGCTGTTCTCATGCCTGATCGTGATGCACGACGGCGCCCCTTCCTGCTTATACCAACATCATAGCCACGGTAGCACTAGCAGTAGTCGTCGTCGTCGTGGCAATCATAGATAGCAACATAGTCATAGTAGTAGTGATCCTCCTTCTGCTGGTCGCGGACGGTGCGCGGCCTTGCTATCATGTCCCCTGATCAGCTATCAGCCGTGGCTTTCCAATCCGCCCTCCTTCTTCCCAGCAGAAGCACGGTGCTTTCGCATGTGTTGCAACTCTGTGGAAGTGGCTCGGCCAGGGTCTGAAAGGCCTGTAAGAAAAATATCGAGCGGCCGCAGGGCCGGGCTCTTTCCCGTACAGGTCATTTTGACATCGATTGAAAAGCATCAGGGGTGATGGCCTCGAGATGCTGGGAACCAGCTTCACAACCAGGAGACTTAATGACACGTGAGGTTGCAAAGCCCTTTGCGCCATGTTGCTTGAAGGTGTGCAGCACAACCTCGGTTTGACAGCGGCGCGGCTTGCTGTACAAATTACAAATCCTGAACCCCTGAAATCACCCCGCTCAATTTCTTCAACCAGAACAGTCACGAAGGAGTCGCACAGACCCCAACGAGATCCCTTTGATACGCTGTCCAAGCGTGTGGGGATCGGGGTCACCGCGCAAACCAGTGTTGCAGCCCGGTCACGACAAGCATGATGCCGGCTAAGGCAGCAACAGGGATGTAGTTGAGCAATGGATAGGCGCCTGGGGAGAGCCGCTTCCAGGAGTAGCAAGAACTCATCTGACCAACCTGAGGCCCTCAACTGCTAGACTCCTAGACCGCAGCTGCGCAGTATGCCAGCCGGTTACGTGTTGGAAGTCGGCGGATGAACTCCAATGCTCGGAAGGCTGCTTTAACACAGGGACTAGGGACTCTCGTTGGCATTTGAGGGCAAAGAAAATCAGGGATTTCACAGATGTCAGACTTCGCATCACGGTAAGGCCGAGGCCCATGACGCAGGCCATGATTCCCAGAGCTGTGACCTTCAGCAGGCATAGTCGTCCAACTGTTGTAGTCGTCGAGAGGCGGTTTCAGGTTTGCATACTCATTCAACCACTATCCGGGGGTCCAAGGTCGCTATAGAAAATTTCGACACAACCAAGTTTACTCTGATACGGATGACGCCAAGAAAGCTTCCGCTGCCATTCCCAGGCATGCATCCTTTCCGCCATCAGAGCGCGAAGGATGCGAGGTCTTAAGCATATCTCCATTGCTGGGAGAAGGTGTTCGTAGCATGGAGCTGGCTTTCAACTATCGAAAGATCCGCAAACGACTCGAAGCCTCATGTACGACATTTCCAAGCTTGCAGCCAAGCTTCACAGGGGCCCAAGCGCCCCTTACCACCATTCAGGCAGTTCACCGTAGAAAGGCCGATCATTGCATTGCCTGAGGCACGGCAGCCCTTACTGGCCCAGACAGCCTAGACGTCTGGGAGCATATGGTGAAACAACTCTTGCTAGTCCCACACGTCATATGCCGACGACAACCCGGGTCTTATGAGTTCTTAAGTGCGGTTCTCCCACCACCGAAAGTGTAATTTTATGCTTGTGCTGATGTTTGGGACTTAATGACCATGGCTCGATTCCATGCGTTCACGTATGATGCATAATTTGTCCATATGCGAATATAATTCTGCGAGAAATCATACCGCTAAACCATGCGAATTATTCTCCTGGTTTTGTCACAACTTCAAGCGCTACTCCCGTCTCTACGACGGGGGCCTCCCATGCCCCCTAAGAAGCCGCTGAGGACATTGGCCGCGCCCATGGCTAGCACAGTGCGGTCTCCATTGCCGGGCTCCTGCTGGGCATCATCACAACAGAACTAGAACAAGGCTTCGTCGTAGTAGTAGTAGTAGTATTATTCCCCACGCCGCTGACGTCCAAAGTCGGGTTAGCGAGCTAGCGACATGCCTTTGGCACGCCG